GACAATCTTAGTATTTTGTCACAAACAAATAAATCCTTGTGAGACTTTCTATTCCAAGCCTACTGAGATCTACATAAATGCACAGTATGCAATAAGATGAGATTTTATCATCTTAAGAATACAAAACTTAGCTAACCACTTCTTTTTATTAGGGGGAGATAGGAAAAAATTTCACAACACTGTACTGCGGAGAACAAATTTGCGAGTTTAGCTTTTTAAAAACTTTTAACCCCTCTTTCCAACGTCAACTTTGAAACACAGTCTTAATATGAATGCCCAGAAGGGTAGTATAATTAGGTAGCATTTTCAAACCTAAATTTACTGATGTGAGGAACTTTACTCATACACATCCAACACGCATCTTTCTTTTTATAAGCAACTATGTCTGAGTATTTCGTTTTATAGAGTAATATGTCACTTAATATCCTACTCCAGTAATACACGTGCCATCATGACTTAACGTACCATAAGTAAGACCTTAGGTGACCTCCTCCTCCCTGGGCATATTCCAACTAGCTTTCTCAACAGTCACAGGTCGTACAAGATGTTTGATAGTCTTCCAATCTGCTTTGTGCTTGGAGATAGTGTGCATCTTAAGATTTCCCTTCAGAGCTGTACGGTAAGGACAGTACAGACAGTGGAATGGCTTCTCACCAGTGTGTATCCTCAAGTGAGCTTGTAAATTAGTCCGGTGGCTAAATTCCCGCCCGCAGAACTGGCACACATAATCTCGCTGAGGTCTATCCTTTTGCTGGAGATAGTCTCCAGGAAGGAGGCCATCACCCATCATCATGTTCTGTTGGTGTGCAAAGGGAGCACTTCCAGCGCCCCGATGTTGCTGAGGAAGGAGGCGTAGTGGTGGCTGCGAATCCCCAGACGAGTGAAGGAGGCCCAAAGCAGCAACAGCAGCCTGAGGGAGGACGGGAGAGTCACCTTCGGTCCACTTTCATTAAGTCTTTACACTTGTCATAAGCTTGACTGTCTGCTTGATATTGCTCATATAACATATGGAGTATTGAAAAAAATTCCATTTATAATAAATGAGAACAAGCATTGTTAAATACTGATTTTCTCCTCACTGTTAATTGCTTCCAGATATGCAACAGCATGCTTTGTAAAATATGCCTCAAAATCAAGACACAAGCAAAGAATTGCTTGATACAGAAGAACTAAAACAGAGTACATCGGATATTATCTGATGATATTTTGCAAATGAAATGTAAAGCAAATGTCAAATGGCTAGATAAACTAAAGGATTCTCTAAGATAATTAATTCATCAATAATTAAGTATTATTTGCACCTCAGTAAAAAAAAAAATAAATTGTGCTGAACAATCATAAGAAATTAAGGCCAAGTGAGTGACAATATAAAACAGGTTCAGTTGTATTTACGAACTCCTTAACCCAAACAGAAACAAACTATAATTATGTATTATATAAAAAAAATCTGAAATAATTGTAATGCAGGTATTGTAAAGGTCTTTACCATAGAGCAGACCATTGTACAGCGGCACCAGGATTGCATACACTTAAGCACATAAGAGCAGAAGAATAGATGAAACTGCAGAAGACCTATTGGCCGAAGTATGCTTCAGATTCTATTTGTATCCAAGGAATTTCTAACCTTCACATGAAACAATTCAGCAACCCCAACCCAGCAAAAGACATAACAATGCTTAATAATAAACACATGAATGCTTATTATTGTTAGTTTACCTAAATAGCATTGAAAAATAAACGTATATTAATATAGCATTCTAAAGCTCAAGAACAATATTTTGTGTGATCAAAGATATCACAGTACAAGTTAGGTAATTCTAGTTGCATTCAACAAGCAGCATTAATAGTAGATATAAAAATACCCCATCAGTCATCTTCAAACGTCACATTTCATGAACACACCCATGAACTATTAGAAACGGATTATGTGGTACTGTACTATATGTAGGTTGTAACTTGTATGATTTCTACTTTTATTTGAACTGCCCCTAAGCCCTTGCTATTCAATAATTATATATGTGCATAAATTGTCCATGTTGAGCATGTCTTAATTGTTTCCTAAAGTAATCTACTTGTCAAAATCCTTAACAGTACTACAGTAACACATAAACAGCACGAGTGACAATACATGAAACAAGGTTCTGTCCGCACCGACATGTTTGTTACATCTGTGCTTGCGAGTAGGGAAATGGCTCTTAAAAACCACCTACTCTCAAACTACCAACCACTTTGTTTTATCATAATACTTTTAAAGCTGTAGATTTAATGGTCTTACACTGCCTCTTCCTGCAGTGTTCATATGTTCACTATGCATGTACTGCAGCCATCACTAAGTGCAAACTTCAACATAAGAGGCGTTGACTACACATGCTGTTTCTTTTGCAAGGGGTATGCACTGGGAAATGACCTATGTAGAGTATCCATATAAGAGAAGTCAGGACTAGAACTGTTTCTGAACAGAGAACTGCTAAAAGTCAAGTAATTCTCTTAAAAAGTGCATATAACCTGCTATTATGAGACAGATTTTATGAGGTCAACTGGAACATTTTACACTGTGTAGTTCAGACAGCAATTTATTCAAACAAAGCCAGCAATGTTAACAATGTTAATCAGCAATAAATCATGGTCTGTGAATTTTTCAGCATTATATAAGAATTTCTCAACCACTTATGTGGTTGAGAAATCTTGAGGTTATCTTGAGATGATTTCGGGGCTTAGTGTCTCCGCGGCCCAGTCCTCGACCAAGCCTCCACCCCCAGGATCGAACTCCCAGGTACCTATTTACTGCTAGGTAACAGGGGCATTAGGATGAAAGAAACATTTTGCCCATTTGTTTCCGCCTCCACCAGGGATCGAACCCGGAACCTCAGGACTACGAATCCGAAGCGCTGTCCACCCAGTTGTCAGGCGCCCTGACATGCTAGTGGTATATTTTCCATGTGTTTTGCTTTCTCCTTTTCCTCCTTGCACTGTTTGTTGAACCATGGGTCTGATGTTCTTTTCTCATATACTTTCTTCCTGAGAGGAATGAACTCCACCATTGCTTTTGTGCATTTCCGCATTACAAATTCATCATTCAATTCAACGATTTTCCTTTCAGTTCGTTCTCTTATTGAACTTCCTGCAAGAAGGCTCAACCAGTCTACAGTCCTGTTTTCTGTACCTGTATTCTCTCACTCTCCAACATGTGTCTTGAACCAACTCCCTCTTTCAGTTCTATAATGTAATCAAAACACAAAAATGCAATGGTCAGCTGGCTCCTAGTGAGATCTCATATTTCAAGTTCTCTATATCTTTCGTATATTGGGTAAACTCCAGGTCTAAGTAGCTGGCAAGTCTCCTCATCTTGGTCTTGTCGGCTCCTCGATATGTTACCACAAAGTGTTTGCCCACTGTGTTTATTAATCTTGCTCTCCATATTTCGTCTGTCCTGTGAGGATTCTACGAATACCAGTCTATTTCCCCATGATTAAGATACTCAAGTACTTGACTCTTTGTTCTTGCTTCCCTTGGCACTGTGGCTACCTTTTTAATTATCACCAGGTACTTCTTGTATTTTTCCTTTGCCTTCCTGTATTTAGAGGGAAGCTGTGAATAAGTTATCTAGTGGCAAAGGTTAAAAATTCTGCCCCGAAGCAAAGCGCAAAAAGCAGGAATTCTAGTCTACCCAAACCTAACTCTGCCCACACAAATGACAAGGATAGATGGGTGAAGTCCAAGATTAGAAAATAAATAGTCAAGAACACTGTATCAAGGCATTCTTTGTCAGCAAACTGAACAATGCAAACACACAAATGAGGGACAAAATATATGCACAAAACAATTAAGTCCTATAAGGCATATGGAAAGAATGGTGAATGAAGTGGTAACTCAAAGAGAGAAACATACTGCTGGTGCACTTCCACACCAGGCATGAGAAGCAGTTGGCCAATTAATCTGTGGTCAACAAAAACACCCAAATTCAGGCACAAGATACCTAGTAACTGCAAAGGTAGCACAGAATATCAAGAGAATTACATTACCACTTTTGAAAATCACAAACAGGTGAGGTGTAGAGAAAATCACTCATCACTGGCCAAATATAGTTTAGACATAAAAGTTTGCTTACATACACAAAAAAAAGAGGCATTCACTAATGCTTAAGTAGTAAGCCCCCCCCACCCTCCCTTCCCAAATAAATAATTACATTTTTATAAGGATAATAGAAGCCATTTAACTGAATATTCTAATGCCCACCCTGTCCTAACACTCAGCAACTAAGGCCAGTCAAGATAGAACATAAGATGGAACTTGTATTTTTGGGCATTGTTGTGGTGTCTGAGCCTGGAAAGGCTTTGGAGTTTTATGTAAATACAATTGTTGTCCATATTCTGGGCATGATTTTTCCCATGTCTCCCTAGCAACAGAATAGATCTGATGGGGCAGCTTGAAAACATCCCTGTTGCACTATTGGTATTTTGATCTGCTCTGACTGCACTAAACCTTAGTCATGCATCAGTAAAAGATCGCCTAAGGGTGCAAGCAAGTGTACTGCTCAGAAAATTGTTTTCCATACTTGTATATATTTGATGTTTGATATTTTAATACAACCAAATATAAAAAAATAGTTTTAAAAGCACACAGAAATCTTAATAGCGTGATGCATCAAATGAACAAATCCACAAGGGCCGTGACGTGGATTCGAACCTACGCCCGAGAGCATCCAAGGCGCTGCCTTAATCGACTGAGCTATGACATGGTCAAGTCGTAGCTCACTCAATTAAGGCAGCGTCTGGGATGCTCTCGGACGTATGTTCGAATCCTCGTCACGGCCCTTGTGGATTTGTTAGTTTTAAAAAGTTTGATACTGTAGAGGTTACGGAGCCTCTAATGCCAAACTTTATTCATGGTTTTAGCACCAAACCTGCAGATAAATATGGTATATATATATATTACACACAAAATAAAACTTTCCTAAGTTACTTCAGTCACCTTTGGGGTAAACAAGACACTAGACACACCTTTTGCTGATGGTGACTGAGAGGGTTGTGTGAGCCTGCAGTTCCCTGAAGGTTGTGACCAGGAAGATTACGAGCTGCCGTGCCACCATCCCAAGGCTCTAAACTCACCTGAAAAAAAAACTTTCATTAAAAAATCTCCTTACAGTTATCATACAGTACAAACTTTACCTAAGACCAAAAACCATCTACTATACAATTGAAAATCTACCTGCATCTTTTTGTTTTGCTTTCCCTTTAAATGAAGGCAATACAATACAATACTGAAGTCTAATTAAAACATACCAGCTACCATCAACAAAATTTTAAAAAATTACCAGACCTAACAGCATCTTGCATTTTATTAATTTCTATCATGTGTAAATGAATTATAATGAATCAATCAGATTTTCACTGTTTTACCTCCTTGTTCAGAACATCACTCAAGATTCTACTTAATCTTTTATGTTATTTCACATCTTGGACATGTCTCTGTAGCTGAATTAAGAGCTATGACCCCCCATAATCAATAACTTTCTTCATAATTTCATGGTAGAAAAGCACGCCCAGAAAGGATAGTAAAGTAGGAAAAAAGTACAGAAATTGAGAAAGAAATTATCCACACTGAGAAATTCATACATATATAAAATCAATCAAGTTCCCCAGTTTCCACTATGCTGTACTGTACTTATACAGACTGCTAAGTAGTTTCAGTTCAAATTACTCATTTACACAATCAAAGTGTACATTTTTTTTTACCCTGGGAAACTTCCCCAAATTATACCATCAAATTTTATGGAATAATAGATTTTAATTTGCATAATTTGGAATTATGTCCATGTTTCCAGGAATGTATCCAAGATGTAAATACTGTATGAACTTGGTAATGTGAATTTCGGTACCCTGAATCTTCGGGTTATCAGAAGGAATTTGTGTTCATCGTTTTCAAGTAAACAGAGAGAGTATGCAGACAAGCCATGAAAATGTGAGGGGTAAACAACAGACATGCATAGGATTGTGGTACAAAAAAATTGCAAAAATTTTCATTTTTAGACACATACAAAATTCGGCTAACTCGTATGGGGTGAGCCCCACATGATTCAGATTACTGTACTGAGCATAGACAGTAGAAGGACTGAAGTACTACTGTAAATGAAAAACACAGTACTGTATATTTCTAGTTAAATAGCCTAAGGCAATTTAAGTTATTTTCTTTGCTAAAAATATAAGAGAAAAGCAACATACATGAGGTAAACCAGAATGGTGATCAACACCATCAGTACTTGAGAGGGTTGACTGCAACATATTGGAGAAGGTGACACCCAGGTCTTCACCTAACACACTTGCTGAGTCCTCTGCTTCTATCTAAAGAAAAGTAAACATATGCAGTAGAATTTGTTCTTAATTACATAACATAAAGACACATGAGAATAATATATTCACTTCTTATTTTTAGAATTTCACTGAGCATGTGAGAATGAGTGCAAGGTGGACATAGCTTGAATGAAATTCAAGAGAACATATGATAAAGAGATAATAAAGTGACTAGGGAGTGATAAGCAGGCTTGGAGTTGATTGAATACTGTTAAATGATCTGAAAAGTTTTGTAGAAAATACAGCATGTGTAAGTGTAATGGGTGTCTAGATTTATATTAATGCAGTGTAGAATGCAGTTGTAATGTTCCCATGGATATTCAATAAACTAGTTATATTAGCATAGTAGCATCCCAGTATATAGACGAGGTTACGAAGGAGGTCTAAGTAAAAATTTACAATTTTTACAATGCACGTCTTTAGATTGCTAACAATTCGATACCAAAATGAAAGATGTAGCATAACAATTGAGGCCAGAACGCTTTATTGATTACAAATATTTATTTTGTGATGAGCATCCAAATTTTTTTTAAACCTAAAATTCTGAGGAAATCAAATATGATTTATACCTTAGGTCCATCATCTTCTTCTTTCTCTTGCATAAAGGGGTCACTGTCATAGCTGGACTTGGCCGAGTGTAAAGGGGCATCATAGTTATCGTGATAAGTTAGTTCTTGCTCTACTTTGATGTGTGGCAAAGATGGGAGTTCTACAGCTTCTAGAGATGCCTCGCCACTCTCAATCTGAAAAGGAAGAAAAAGACAGAGTTGCCATAACAACATTGTTTATGTCACTGGCATCTAGTGTGTCTTTTTCCTCAATAAAAGGGAAGTCAAGAATGAAAGTTATCATCTTATATTTCACAAGTTACTACATTATATCTCCATATTTTCAAGTTTTACAGTCTCTGCAACAGCATGCATTTGAAACAGCAAGTCACACAAAATTAACACAACAATGAAATAGGAAGCCCTCTCCCTTTCCTTTCCCTTTATAGGAAGCCCTTTCCTCTTCCTTTCCCTTTATAGGAAATCCTTTCCTTTCCCTTTATAGGAAGCCCTTTCCTTTTCCCTTCATAGGAAGCCCTTTCCCTTTATAGGAAGCCTTTTCCCTCTCCTTTCCCTATCTAGGAAGCCCTTTGAATGAACGTGAAAAAATCCTCATCAATACCCCATTTTCCACTTTTAAGTGGTTGGGAGATATCCAAGGAAACAGGAGAGCAAATAGAAAACAAAGAAAATAAATATCTATAACAATCACCCATCCACCCTCCATGTCTTCCACACAATAACATCTACCACGCATTATTTCTAAATAAAAACTTACTCTCTCTCTCTCGTGATGAGGATTTGGTAATTGCTGCTCAACACAGTCCGGGGTAGGGAGTGAGGTTTCTTCAAAGGGTCGATCCCCCTGAGACTTGTCATCCTGTAATGCGTCTACTGGCTGTTCTACAATTAAAGAGGTACTTATTTTTCGGTCTTCAGCACGCCGTCTCTTTGGTGGTGGACTGTTGCGGTCTCCAGCATGATATTCTGCTGAACGATGTCGACTTCCAGAATTACAATTGCCTCCATCAGAGGCATGGTGTTTTGGCTGTTCATCGGGTACTGCCAATCCTTTAATTTTCAGACACTCTGCTGCCTTGATAAGTGACGTCAGTTCATTTTGTCTAACATTGACCTCACCAATGTACATATAATCCAACAAGAATTCAAGATCTTGACACTGGATGTCCTTTAAAACAACTACTGGGTTTTTGCATGGTGTGCGGTCAAATATGTCACAAAAATATTCACTACACGTGGACAAAACTAACTTATGGACGGGATAAAATTTGCCCTCACATGCCAGGGTCACATCTGTGTAGTTGCCCTGAAAGTGTAAAGCCCACTATTAAATACTACATAATCAAATACAAAATTTAATCATAATTAAATACTACACAATATTGCTGTATTATCAAATTAAAATACTATATTTCACACAAATAAATCAATGTGTACATTGCTGAAGAGTATATGGCTACTTCAGAAAGATTAATTGGTGGTATTTAGACAAATAATGCATATAAAAAGTAAGCTACTTGCGAGACCAACAAAACATATTGTCATTTTATTTTCTGAACTAATGTACCCTTTAAGGGAAAAGTTGGCTAAGATTTGGTGGAGTATGGCATGTCTTCCTATACTTTATGCAGTGGAAACTCGATTCAAAGAACCTCAATTTGGTGAATCTCTGGTTGAACACACTTTCCATGCCAAATTTACTCACCCATTTCAATGGACAAAAGTTCACCAAATCAGGGGATGTGTGGATTTCCTTAGGATATTGGGACCGAATTCATAGATGGAGGCAACATTAACAGAAATAGTTGGGGCCTTGGTAAAGCCACTGAGAACATTTAAAACTAAGTTCTATGATTCTTTTTTATTTCCAGTTGCAGACATTTCTGTTCAGTTCTGGACTTTTGAGATTTCGAGGCTTAGTTGCGAGAAATATGCTAGTGTGATTAAATCTCTTTAGACAGGTTTTCTTACTTGTTGCCATGACAGGTTGAAATTATAATTTTGCTAAGTGAAATTAGCTCATAGAGCATGGGAAATATTAGGTATAAACAGTAACACTTAATATGGCTCCGATCACATTTTTGATGATTTATGTACATGGACTCAACATTACAAGAAACAGTTGGAATCTTGGGAAAGCTATTAAAGATATTTAAAACCAAATTCTAAGGTTTGTTTTCATTCTGAGTTGGCAAGCTTATCATTCACACAGGTATGCCCTGCTAGCTTTTGAAAATGAGTTTTAAGGCTGGAGATATGATAAATATATAAGCTAGATGTGGTTAAACTTTCTTGCAGACATGTTCATTTGGTAGTTGTGTATTATATTATAGGTTGAAATGAAAATTTCGCTAAGTTCCGATAGGGTATGAGAAATACATCCTGGAGGCATCTCCAGTTGCAATAAATTCTTCACTGCTATAAATTGGGTTGGTCCCATATAGTTCGTTGAATTGAGGTTGTACTGTATTATTTTCTCTGACTCCTAGTCTATCCAACACCCTCGCCTCCCATTCTCCCTCTTTCTCTCCCACCCTCCCCCCCTTTTATTCTCTCCCACCCTCCCATTCTCCTTCTCATTCTCTCTTCCTCCCTCCCAACCATTATTTCTCAGAACATGTAATAAATGTGCATAGGAAACATGTAACATAACAGAAATTTATTTTTACTATTGGTTACTTACTATAACACTGTGGGTACTTTGTATGTGTAGTGAACCGTTGAAAATATGTTGAAAAATATTATGGAAACCAAACCAACATTTTGGACTTCAAAAGCGTCATTGGTTGTCGTTATCAGAGGCAATCCTACTTAACCACAAGTGGCAAGAGGGATGACACCAACCCCCTCCTATGACACTCCCCATATAATCACACATCATCATGCAAAGCAGCATGAGTTTATGCGCAAGAGCCTGGCCTCCATCCTCAAGCAAACCGAGACAAACACATTCTTTTATAACTATATATTATTACATGGATAATAATTCCAATGAAAAGAAAAATATTGTACATGATAATCAAATTTTCTTTCAACTTATCTAAGCTTACTAGGCCTCCATGCAAGTTGGTTGCACAAATTATTTATCTCATGAATTCTTTAAGAATGGCTATACATCTACCACCTTTACTGACTTCAATACTGAACAATCCATGCTAAATGGAGCATAACCAGTGAGTATTACACTATTTCCTGGATTCAAAAAGTCTATACAATATTATTTTCCATGCAATATGGAAGATAACAAAATGACCAGGAATGATAACCCAGTCAAGGATGCCAGTGTAACAAAAATGAAAACCCTACGAAAGCAATGGCTGAAATATAAGAATAGATATATATGAGAAGCCCCTACCTTGGTCCTGAGCCCACTAATGATATGGTAGAATATACTCTGGTGGTTATTCCACTTGAGGGCTAACACTTCTGCTTCCATTTTGGCTGAAAAGAATAAACATACCTTAAGCCTTTGTCTCATGACACATTTTAATACAAAAAAACTTTTGATCGTTATAAAACATAGGTAGCATTATACTTTACAGAGAGTACTGCAGTAGTAATTTTAGTAGATTATAATACTACCACTTGATAATTCTGTATAATTTTTATTAATCTGTAAAACATATTTTGGTAAAAGCACTTGTATTTTCCTTGCATAATAATCATTATACTGTATTCCACCTACACAGGGTGTGGAGGTAATTGCCTAAAAGCAGAAAACCAATACCACAAAAATCAACAAAAATCCAGACCATTAGTTGAAAACCTGATCTAAATTTGCAAAAAAATCAGATTAAAAAAAAAATTGCCCTCGTTTGGCCATTATCACAAAATTTTCTGGACTCTCCTTATAGTAAATAGTGCAATACATATTTCAGCATATGCAGATATAACAGTAACATTAATAATGATTTTTTTAACAGACAAATTATGCATGAAAACATGAACAATCTATTGATTCACTTACCTTTTTGTAACAATGGTTTGTCTTAATTACTAAGAGCACAGAACAATACAGTTAAACTGTAGTACTATGTTATGCCATCTGTTACACTCTTGCAGTCACCCTGAACTGGTCTTGAAGTCCTCAATGCCCATGGTTAATGCCATTCTATCAGCTACAAATGGTAACTGCATCACCAATAGTTAGCCCCAGGCTACAATGCTGTGTATATCACTGGTAGAAGGCATCATTCAAATCCTCATGGTTAAAAGGTTTCAATGTTTGTGTTGTGTCCCTTCTCCTTCCATCATTGCTCTCCATTTTATTCCTAACTGTATGATCTGCATTCTTTGCCTTTTATATCATCAACAGCACAAGTACCAATGCCATACACCTCTGCCAGCCACTTGGCTACCCAACTATGATCACATTTCTCTAATACCTCTATCTTATTATCCATAGTAAGGAAGCACCTTTTACCCTTGTCTGAGGAACCCATATTACTCTTGCCACTCGATATGGCTTCAACTCACGAATAATAAGAGAACAGCAAGTGAACTCACGAATAATAAGAGAACAGCAAGTGTAAATGCTCAAGTAACAAGAGGAGACCACACTCACACAAAGAAAAAACTAACAATCTGTATGTGTGCCCTCACAATAGGTTTGGATGCTTCAGAAAAATGTCATACACTCATTTGTACATTTTATAGTACAGTACATGATTAGTAAAGCAATTCCAAAATATAAATGCATTATTTTAATATTTACAAATTAAAAAATGCAAGATTAACAATACTGTAATTAGGAAACAAAATACTGGCCTGACTAGTATGTAAGGCTTTACCAATAATCTTCCTTCTGATGTTATGCCTAACTTTGTATCTTACAATTCAGCCCGTATTGGCCTTGAAGGCCAATACATGAACACACTATGTAGGCCCTAATCCATATGAAAACCCTTCGGCTGCATTTCTTATATCACTTTCTCGTATTTGGACATCTATATTGTACTGCCTCCTACATCAAGACTTAAAACAAGAAATTACATGACATTAGTGTGGTGGTTCAATCAGATACGAAGTAAAGAAAATCATAATGACACCTATCCAGACGCCATACCTTCCTCATTCGACAGCATCACGAAGAACGAGCACCATCAAGTTCCAGAAAATCATCCACAGCAGCACTCCAGCACTTCATAAGACTAGATGTAAAGAATAGTTTAATTAAACTCCATCCATTTTAGTCTTGGTGTAAACTACATGGGTACATAAAATGTTAAAAACTTTTCCATTCTGGCCTACTGTTTTTCATTAAAGCTGTTAGCAAATGTAATATTTTGTCTTTTTCAACTCTTGTCACCTGCCAGAGGAATAATTTGATGCTTTAAATACGTTAGAATGTTACAGAACAGGTGATACATTAATTTAGAATGGAAAATTGTGTAGGTTTATCTGTTCAAGTTTATATATGATATTTCCTCAAAACTATAAGAAAAATACGAAAACGCTTTATCAAATATTCCAAAATATTATTAGAAAATTTACTATAAGTCTCAAATATGGCAAAACTGATGTTAAAAATCAAGACAGCCAGTTGAGCCACTAAGAAAAGGTCTATACTGTATATATACTGTATAAACATATCTTAGATCATCTTCACCTTCAATTTTATGAAGCTATCCAAATCTGTATCTTCCAAACTCATATTATTCATTTCAGCATTATTTCAGCTTTTACACAAGTAAGATATTAATACTGCATCATGCACCTTGCAGCATCATTCTGCTTATATTTTGAATTAATATTTGTATAATTATTATTAATTATAATTATTATTAATACAAAAGTGATTAATACCTGGCAAATATTTAATACTTTATCGACATTTGTTTAAAAAAAAAAACATGAAGGTGCAATAGTTATGTCGGTGTGTAAATCCAATGTTGGGATTTAGACTCGAGGCAAAGTATTGTCCTGGAACCAGTTAGGTTATTCAGTGCCAACAATCCTTTACATCCAGGTCTCTAGGCAGTGTTTAGTGCGTGGTGTCCAATCATAGTGACCAATCATTCCACCCTGCCCAGATCTCTCACTTGTAAGGTAAGGATGCTAACCACTACACCACAGGGTGTGCCCAGCTGTGCAAGCAAAGAAGGGTCCTACTGTCTATTTCCAGAGAAAATTTGACTGGCCTATACAGTACTTACTTTATAACCAAGGATCTTAAAACTATATGCAGACAATGAGTCATATTGTCTCATCGTCTTAAAACTATATGCAGACAATGAGTCATATCGTCTCATCGTCTTAAAACTATAATCCCTAATCAAGCATTTGTCTCCTCTACAGGCAAAAGTAACTATTTACTGTAATTACAGTATTTAAAGAAGGCACCAAGCTGTAGAGACTATGTAACATTAGTACTCTTCTCTGCGAGGTACATCACCACTCACAACCCAGGCATTTCACCACTCTAAGTTTCTCCCTTACTACTATATAAAAGGCTTAAAATTTTCATCCCTAGTCACCAGTCAATTCTGAGGGAACACCAGTACCTGTTATTAATGAATCTTAATGGGTATCAACAAAAAGGATACAAGGAACTTTATTTTAAAACCTAATCATTTCATCCAAAAATATCCAAATGATTACAATCTACTCTTATACTATAGCTTGTAGTCTATGCATAGCCTCTCTAAACTTTCATTTTAAATTGCTAATTTACGATATTGTTATAATGTAACAATGTGCACTCTTTCATGAATGTCAGGTCCCTAATGAGGCAGTGCATAGACTGCAGTACCAGGTTGCAGTAGTGTATTGGGGCCGGTGCTCATATAAATACAGTATTGAAATGCAGCATTTGCAAGGCAACTAGAACAATTAGTTTTAACTAAATACCATACAGTGGGTATGTATCATGGCCAAAATTTATCAACAAGTTCGACACTCAGCAAGCTTAATATCTTAATTTGAATTTACACAATCTAATATATTTTGAACAATTCTCTCAAAGAAAAAATCTACCAACACCAACTGAAAAGCCCATCCAAATCAAGGGACCTTGCCAGCCAGTCTTCCTCCCCCCTCGACTCCCAGACAAAATTAACTCAGAGAGGCCCCCCCACCCCCCCAGCACCGTCAGCGTCAGGCCAGCTTGGGGCCCTCTTCATCTCCAGGCAACACTTCCTCAGAAGCCCTCTAGTAGCTTCACAGCATCAGGCCTGACTGGACCTCTTCCCCACATCCAGGCAACACTCCCTCAGGAGACCCCAGCAGCGGCAGCGTCAGACCTGGGGCTCTCCTCTCTCACACACACACATACATACATCAGAATCGCCATCATTCACTCGAGACGCCTCAATTCTCTAGTATTATGTCGTGCCCTCAAACTCTCGTGACTTCTATTACCCCAGACCTTAGTGCCTGCGTCTGGTGGGGGACATGGCGAAGGGTGAGCTTCTCGGGGAACGGTCGTATTCACCAACTTAGGCGAAAACAGAGAGAATACACTCGGGGTCAGTCGCCTTCATCAAAACACCTGGGCTGTTGCGGGGTCATCGCCATAATACCGACGCTCTGACATGACTAATGTCTTAGGCAACAATTTTAGTTCTATGTTGTAACATTGATTATTACTGTTTTTTATGGGGGTTATTATCTTGCCAAGTCTTTCACTGATGGATGAAAATAAATTAACCCACTACTCTCTAGCGATTCCTTACCTTACCGGGTATGGAGCGGGAACAGCATCACCTAAACAAAGGTTGAAGTGAGATTTAGTCGCCATATTGGAGTACCTTATTTACAGCTCCAGAAGTTTTGGGTTTGGTTTTCCATTCCAGGAAACTGGAAGCCTGTTAAGATTACTGAGGTGCCCTTCGATAAGGAAGGTCATTTCCCACGATGAATGGGCTCGATGATCCACAGTTATTTTGGTACGTGCAATAACAGGTTAATTTTTTTCATGAATCCTCAGACTCTTCTTGACCTTTGTTTTGAATCAGTTTTCGTTCTCCAGCTATGTACTGAATGGAACCATTAAGACCCGGGGAGAGGTGCGGATTTCGATTCCAAGTCAAGGAGTACTGCATCTATTGCATGGAAGACCTGCTGTGAGGTAACCCAACTTGAGAAGTTTAAGGGTTTAGTGCAGGCAAATATCATGTCGCAGGAGGCAGAGGTTAGATAGGACAAAATAGGCCCGTCCCCACGAGCCGTCAGTAACAAGGTTCTTTTTCTCAAGACTTTCTCAAGAAAATATGAAGAGAAAGCGTTAAACCGGTATGATTATATTACACGTGAAAGAGATATGAGGACAAGGAATTTGAATATAAGGACAGTGAGAAAGAAGTCTAAGCCTAACCGCTTAGACTACAGGGCAACGAACGCCGGCCTGCAAGAAGTGAATAGACTCCCCAGGAGGTGTCCCGCATCAGTAAATTATGGCAAATGATTCATCTGGACCCCTACCAAGCCACGAGAACCTCAAACAGTCATTCTGGCGCGTTTTAACAGCCACCATTGCGGTCACGGCTTCCTCACACAAAGGAAGACAAGTACCACCTTCGAACAAATCCACAAGGGCCGTGACGAGGATTCGAACTTGCATCCGGGAGCATCCCAGACACTGCCTTAAGATTAAGGCAGTGTCTGGGATGCTCCCGGACGCAGGTTCGAATCCTCGTCACGGCCCTTGTGGATTTGTTCATTTGATGCATCATGTTATTGTGATCTCTGTGTGTGAAGTACCACCTTCATTTGCTTCCATACCAATGGCACCACAGTAATATATAAAAAAACAAAACTGGAGGGGCACCTGACACTACAGTACACTGCTTCAGCTAGATGCTAGGTAACAAATTTATGGCCAACAACACAGAGAGATCAATTAAGAATTTGGAAAATTCAACCAACGGTCAGCTTCAAGACGACATGTTCACCCTAGTCGCATCCGGCACATGGCTGGGTGTCTGGCTTATCGTCCTAACCTTGACGTGGGCGAAAAATTTCACACACCTGCCTCTACGTCTCCATCTTGACATGGACGACACATTCCCCACACCTGCAGCAACGTCCCCATCTTGACGTGGGCGACACATTCCCCACACCTGCAGCAACGTCCCCTTATGGACGTGGACGACACATTCCCCATACCTATGCAGACGATGAGTCACAATAACGTGGCTGAAGATTAAACATCCAAACTACAAATCTGAAAATTAAGAACTGACGACATTTCGGTCCGTTTTCGGTTTCATTTTCAGATTTGTGGGCTGGGGTATCGTCTCCATGGCTGCCGGAACATCCCCATCCTGACCTGGTGTCGCATACCTCCAGGTGAAGGCCTTCACTAGGATAAACATCTTGAGGTTCATCTCCAGAGTGTCAGGAGATGGTGTCACAGGAAATGCTAACATTATATAACGCTCTGATTGGCAGCACATTACGGCACCCAAGTCCCCCAGTTTATAGGATATATTTGGGTCAAGATGTCTTTTGCTGTTTCCTCTATTTTTCTGTTTTTGTGGGAATTGAGTATGTGCCATTATATCTGGCTTTATTTACACGTATTAATTATCACGCAGACTAGCGCTTGGCATCACTGAACCACCTCACTCTTGATCTGAGATTCGTGTGTGTGTGTGTGTGTGTGTGTGTGTGTGTGTGTGTGTGTGTGTGTGTGTGTGTGTGTGTGTGTGTGTGTGTGTGTGTCACGCAAGCCAAAAAAAGGGGTAAATCAAACTCCAAAATAGATAAATCTTGTTGATTATTACTGAATAAATATATGTATCTGCTGGCCGATTTTGCAATCTTTATTGCTTCACAAAACTCATATACAGTCTTATCTAATTACAGTATACATGACAGGCAAGCCAGGCGCAAGGCAAGGCTTATACTAGCCTTACTCTCACACTATCATATCTTACCATTATTCCACACCCCGCAAGCACAATTAGGTGAGTACACACCCTAGCGTATCATATTGTATTAGTACTCTTAACCATAGTTTATACAATATTATACAATGGTTATAATGTTAATTCACAACACAGACGAATATAACGAAGTTAAATTTGTATTCTCTCTCTCTCTCTCTCCTGACTCTCTCTCTCTCTCTCTCCCTTTCTCTCTCTCTCACACACTCACATCTTAGTTACGAAAATAACTATATTTATAGACCTGTAATCATAGTTAGAACGCTATATAAGAATATAAGATAAAATAGAAAAACCGTCGAAAGGCAGTTTGGTATACTTAGCTATCACACCGGTGTTAGAATTCAACCCCAAGCAACGAATAACAAAATTATTTACAAAATCCTGGCAAAGTGGACCACATATACGTAACTTTCTCATAATTTCCGGTCAGAGTAATTATTAACAAATATTTGTTAGTGTGTAATGCATCGATGTTTTCAACTGAGTTGTGTCTGCGGCCGATGTGTCCTGTATCGCAACCGTTAGCGCAGTCGGCTCACATCCGAAGAGTCCCGGGTTCGATTACCGGGCAGGAAAAGAGATGCAGACACGTTTCCTTAACACCTTATGTCTCTGTTCACCTTGCAGTAGATAGGTATATACGGGAGTTTTGGTAACTATTGCGGGTGGCATTCTTTTGGGAAGGTCCGTCGTTAGCGTTGGTTCACCAGGATGAACATCTTGAAGTTTATCTCCAAAGTATCATGAGATAGTGTCAGTATATATAGTATATTTATTTATACAAGAGTTCTTACATTCTTGCACAGTCACTAGCACGCATAGCGTTTCGGGCAGGTCCTTAATCTTGATTTTCACATACACACCCCCAGGAAGCAGCCCGTAGCACCTGTCTAACTCCCGGGTACCTATTTATTGCTAGGTCAACAGGGGCATCAGGGTGAAATAAACGTTGCCTATTTGTTTCTGCCTCCGTCGGGGATCGAACCCGAACCCTTAAGACTAAGAACGCCGAGTGCTGTCTACTCAGCCGTCAGTTCCCAAACAGTAACTGCCGTCTGGCTTCAGTCTCCAATTTTTTTCATTTCCTGGCGGATACATTGTAACAAATACTCATCCAGAATTTACGTGTATACTTATGAAACCTAAATATCTTCCCCTCGGTTATGGCGGCTTAGTTTGCTTTTATTAAATAGTTTACCAACTTTGACAATTCGAAACCCAAAGTTATTATTGTTATATATAATCTTGTAGCACTTCGGTTCTCGTATACTGTTTAATAAATTCAAATTTATCCGCCATAATTGAAGATAGATATACAGGCTTCGTAAGAGGACCTCATAAGTGCTTGATGAATTAGGAAGCTTATTAGCGATGCCCTGGAAGCTATTAGTACAAGCGAGGTTACATCCGCGCTGATGTCAGTCGTCTAGAAGCAGCCACAAATTAAATTGTCCATCCCAGCACGTCTCACTCACAATAGACTAATTTATGTCAGCTGCTTATGCGAAAACTGACGTGTAATTATAACGAATTATAACGGGTAATATATCAAATGCTGTGAGTGGTCAGTCAGACTGGCTAAACACGGATTAAACTGTATATCGAATGGTGGGAGAAGCAAATAAAAGATTTGGAGAGTGTGGCCGGAGTGTGTAGCGTGTATATGTTAACACTTGCGAGACCCAGGTGTCGCTGTTGTCCGGTTTGTTGTAAGCTGTCACTTGCTGTCCACCACAGCAGGTGACGACGCGTTCCTGTTGTCCACCACAGCAAGTGGTGGTGGTGGTGAATAACCCTGTGGGTGCTTTTTCACCCACAGGGTTATTAAGCCATGGAACCGCCTACCCGCCGAAGCCGTAAATGCCAAAACTCTGTTAACTTTTAAAGTACAGCTGGAAAAGATCATCAAAGGGGGGACCTTCGACAAGCCTCCGGCTTTCTGTCCTCGTCGAGGCCACTAGTATTAGTGGCTCTCAGGTAAACTCAGGTAAGTGGCGACTTCACACCCTACGGATATTTTTAACCTACTTAACGAAGATGTCACCTCAGGCTTTTTTTTTCTAGGTATCCATGTTGACAGTATATCTCGACCCCTGGGAGCCTCGACATCCATTTATCGTATCTATAAACTGTGCGCGAAGTCATCTTCAGAACGTAAAAATACGGTCTTCGGAATTCGGGTTTCGCCAGACGTTTATATAGCCTAGTGCAATCTGTGATTGGACGACGTCAGGAGGCCGGAACCCATCACTAGTCGTCGCTGATATGGTATATACACAGCACGACAGCTCTCTGGTGATTCAGACCTAGCGTACCTATATCCTCCACCACCTCTACGCGGTATATTGCTGTAACTCATATGCATGTTCTCATCAACAGGCTTTCTGTCCCCCTACAATTCAAAATATCAAAGCATTTTTATACGGAAATCAAGAGAATGGGCTGAACACCGCCTAGTTCACTGCTTTGTTTCACTTGATGCACTGTTAGTCCCACGCATATAAGATGTGTTCTCACTGCTTCCTTGTCAAAACACAATGTTATTATGCACAATGAAATCACATAAACGTGATGTAGCAATGTCCTGGTAATGGATTGAGAACAACTACGTAATTAGTGCTATCATCGCTCTGCCCATTGTTTGGTTAGGTTAAGGTTACTATATTATAATGTTTGGTTAGGTTAGGTTAAGTTTCATTACGTTAATACGGTATACTATTGTTCAAAATGCGAAATTTAAAATTCGGAAACTGTTTAAGTGTACCCTTGAATTTTGTTACAGAAAACCAAAATATTCAGGCTGGGAATATTTGCCCAAAATTTCTGGTAGCAGATAATTTTGAATGAAATATTTACACATCTCTTGAACATATATGTTATAGAATTGTCTCTGAATTCACTTCTCTTATCGCACTCTATCACATAGTGTCGGAGGGTGTGCGAATAATTTTGTTGACAGTTTCTAAGAAAACGTTTCAGCATTAACTTTTTATTTTTTTATATTTTAAACCAACGATTTATAATTTTTTAAAGTTATAACTTGAGAATAATCTCCGTTTAGGACAGAGATTCACGTGCCAGTTTACAAGTAAACTATTACTGGAACCGTAATGTGCTTTCAGACCATCACAAATATCTAGATAACTATATCCAGCTGGTTTGACGGTGTGGTTGGTAGCTCCTGGTAATGGATTTACTCTGATATGCAAACTGTTTAATATTGATATATGTAAGTATTTTAATAGTAAAAAAAAACAGTGTTAGAGACGAAAAATTTTTTTTAGAGACGAATGTTGTTGGTTATCGCGTGTTTTGATTGATTGATTGATGATTAATGAAGATTAAGTCACCCAAGAAATGGCACGTACGGGCATGAGTAACCCGTGAGTGTTTTGGTGTCAGATGAACTCACGAACGATACCTGTGTCAGCATCATCTCAAGGTTACGAATGATACCTGTGTCAGCATCATCTAAAGGTTACGAATGATACCTGTGTCAGCATCATCTCAAGGTTACGAATGATACCTGTGTCGGCATCATCTCAAGGTTACGAACGATACCTGTGTCAGCATCATCTCAAGGTTACGAATGATACCCGTGTTCGCATCTAAGGTCACGAACGTTTTTGTTTTTTCGAACGTTAACAACAAACGAACATCTAAGGTTTTTTGCCCGAAACGCTATGCGTACTAGTGGCTTTAGGTATTGTATGTACTAGCTCTATCTATAAATCCAGCATTATGTTTATAAATCAACTATGTATGTACTTTCCTGAATAAATTTGACTTTACTTACTTTACTAACGATAGCTGTGTCAGCATCATCTAAAGGTCATGAATAATACATATGTTGGGGTCGCCACGGTGTTCTGCAGCGCATGTCTCGAATTAAGTACAACAGCTGAATCATACTCATAATGTATGATTTTTCGAATATACAATACTCAAAATGTTTGATATTTCGAATATACAACACTACATGTATGATATTTCGAATATACAACACTATATGTATGATATTTCGAATATACAACACTATATGTATGATATTTCGAATATACAACACTATATGTATGATATTTCGAATATACAACACTTTAAATGTGTAATAACTTTAATGCATGATACTCTTGACAAATGACTCTCTTTAAGGAATGATAATTTGCAATGAATGAAAATTTTAATGCATGACGATTTTACTGTATAATTCTTTTAATGAATAATATTGTTACTGTACAATACATGTATACCTAAGGATAGCGGAAGTATTCTTGCAGTTCTTAAAAATTCTCACTCAAAGGAACTTGTGAATTCTCACTCAAAGGAACTTGTGAATTCTCACTCAAAGGAACTTGAGAATTCTCACTCAAAGGAACTTGAGAATTCTCACTCAAAGGAACTTGAGAATTCTCACTCAAAGGAACTTGAGAATTCTCACTCAAAGGAACTTGAGAATTCTCACTCAAAGGAACTTGAGAATTCTCACTCAAAGAAACTTAAGAATTCTCACTCAAAGGAACTTGAGAATTCTCTCTCAATTGAACTTGAAACCCCTATATACAATTATCCAATTAAAAAGAGCAATAGGTGATTGAAAACAAGAAAAAAAGCTATTTCACGCACAATGAAAGCACTAGACGAGATAGATCTATGACATAATATTGAGGCCGCACTCCAAGCCTCATGAAGTATTTACGTGTCCATTTACGAAACCCGTACATCTTTCCATAATCATGGCGACTTTGTTTATATGTATTAAACGGTGTATAGGCTCCGATGCGGTACGAGGTTGTTACTAACAATAATAACCTTGGGTTGTAAAGTATGCAAGTTCGTATAAACTGTTTAATAAACAAAGTCTATGCCGCCATGATCGAGGAAAGATGCACAGGTTTCGTAAGTGGTTCAGTTGGTAATGCGTGTGCTTTGGAAGTCCGGGAATCCTAGTTCGATCCCATCGTACAATTTTAATATTTTCTTACAGTTATGTCAATATTGACATCTAACCTAGAGGGAGAGGGAAATATAAAGGGCAATATCCTAATATAAGGAACACGATATTAAATTTACTCACTTGCCTTAGTCTAATGCAGTGAATGAGTATTAACATCTTGATGAACCTCCAGATAGTCTAGAATCATACGCTCCTGGGAAAGGTGTTGGGGGGTGGGTGAGGGAATGGGGTTCTCTCCTGGTGTTTGGGGGGTGGGATGGGATGAACTAATTGGCTGATTGATTGATTGACGGACTAGTCAGCTGGACGAAGGCAGGTATCGTAGATCCTGTTCACTGCCAATTACGTGAGAATTCAGGAGAGGTTTTATACACTTAATTTAGGAGTTCTTGAAACCAGGCGTGCTTGAGAACCAGTTGAAAAAAAAATAGGTGAAGACACTTAAATTTTGGCGCCAACACGAATGGCATTCAGACGAAGGTTGCCACCGGAGCAGCATTAGGCGAGTCTTTCCTAGAGTGGTAGGTGAAACAGCGGCTAGGTGAAGGTGACTCCGCTGCCAGGTGAAGCTGACCCGACTGTCAGGGTGGAGGTGACCCCACTGCCGGGTGAAGGTGTCTCCGTGGTCAGTTGTGAGTGATGCCTGGCCCAGGTGCAGGGGGGAAGGGTTGGGACAGTAGGGAGATGGGCTGAATACTAGCTGAAGACCACCTCGCTGTAGATGCGATGTCTCCTGACCAGCGGGGTGTCAAGGCCGGGGCACGGCGACACAGGCGTCGCCACCTCCCGGAGTCTGCAAGAGACAGAGATTGGTCAGCACGCGTCTGTTAGGCTAGAGAAGTCTCAGTTTCTCTCTCTCTCTCTCTCTCTCTCTCTCTCTCTCTCTCTCTCTAAGTTGATCAGAATCTATATTCCTGTGTTAAAAACCTGATACTTCGTAGATCAAGAAAAAATTTTCCCAATCATGCAAGTTTTGTCGGATCCTTCTGCAGAAGACAGCCTCATCCCCAACCAGAGTGCTTATGTCACATACACAAGTTATATACATCCTTACTGAAGCTAGGATGTGCCTTTTACTCACACACAAACGACAACAAGAGCCTTAGCCAATCCTGCAGCTAAAAAATAGCCATTCTTAGCACCTAGGTACAACACAGATAGTTAAGATTAGTGTCAGGAATTGTTCAACTCGCGTCTGTTAGGCTAGAAAGTCTCAGTTTCTCTCAGTCTTTCTCCCTATCTCATTTGGTAAGGTCATATGAGTAGCTCACCCCAAAAATGAACGAACACATATTCTTCTCAAAGCCTACGACTATTGCAATATGTATGCTCAGCCAGACACATATACACACAAGCGCGCGCGTGTGTGCGTCCTAGCACCATATGATATTAGCAGCTAATTCAGAATCTAGGCTCTGATACATACACATGTCTTAGCACCAACTAAAATTTACAAAGCAGCAACGCTCAGCCACGCTCACATTCTAGCACCGTATAAAGATATCCTAGTAGCTCGGTCCAGTTACAAAAACACTTCCTTAGCATATGGTAAGATCATACAAAAAGCTAAGCTCTGCCATATACACAAGTATCCTAGCACCAGTTACGGCCACCCCCAGCAGCTAGGCACAGCTACACAACCTAGCACCAGCTAAAGCCACCCCAGCACTAGGCACAGCCACACACACTTACCCTACCGAGTGTATCCGTTCCTTGAACTCCATGTACTGCCGCTTCCGGTCAAAGTGTTTTACCTGAAGAAAAGACATTTGAGTAATTAGAAAAGTTTGTTCATTGAATAGGTCTTGAATGTCAACAGAATTTAGCACATAGCAGAGCGACTCACCGGAGGGTAGGATTGGCTGGACATGCCCAATGTACGGGACAATGCAGGGGGGGGGGGGACTTACCAAGTGGACGTAGCAGGGCACGAGAACTTACCCAGTGAAGGGAACAGGGGCATAGAGACTCACCCAGTGGACGGAACAGGGGCATAGAGACTCACCCAGTGGACGGAACAGGGGCATAGAGACTCACCCAGTGGACGGAACAGGGGCATAGAGACTCACCCAGTGGACGGAACAGGGGCATAGAGACTCACCCAGTGGACGGAACAGGGGCATAGAGACTCACCCAGTGGACGGAACAGGGGCATAGAGACTCACCCAGTGGACGGAACAGGGGCATAGAGACTCACCCAGTGGACGGAACAGGGGCATAGAGACTCACCCAGTGGACGGGGCATAGAGACTCACCCAGTGGACGGGGCAGGCCATCTCGTAGAGGCGTCGCAGCTCGAGACAGTGGTCCCGGTGTATGTCTGGCAGGTCAAGGCAGGCCCAGTAGCGGTCACGTGACTCCCAGCATGCTTTCCTCACCCCCTTGTCCCGGAACGACATTCTGCTGAACAAATAATTAAATAAACGTTCATAAATACGTCCACACATGCGTTCTCGCATTTTGTGTCCAAATCCAATTAGTGTTCTTATCTAAAGAACAAAAATGGTTTTAATCAAGGACACTGGAGCCTGAGGTACTCAGAACATACACAGATTTTTCGCGTAGGGAACCAGACCCGGAAACAAGCTCAGCAATGTTGTAACTTGTGTATCTTAATTAATATTAAAGTGCGGGTGTCAGCTTCCGAGTACATTGCTTGTCTCTGCACAAGCCTTCTCCACAACCACTCACAGGATGGGTATAGGGTTCATTATCACTTACAGGATGGGTATAGGATCCACTACCGCTCATAGAATGAGTATGAGATCCACTGCAACTCGCAGGATAGATACGGGGTTCATGATAAATGCAATGATCATGTCTACGGTACAAAAGCCCCCGAGCGTTGTTTCCCACAACTGTTTCACAATGGGAGCTTGGCCCCTTGCCGGTGCAACGCATGCAATGAGTACTACACAAAAACTGCAGTGTTGCAGCCAGTGGCGATTCCGGAATAAGGCAAAAGGGCTGCACACTGCTGAGGAGGATCGTAGAGAATCGAGGTGAGGGAAGATACGTATAGTGTGACAATGACCTTCAGACTCTCCCCCCCCCCCCCATTCCCTTCTTTGCTCCTACACAAATCTCTTCTTTTCTCTTGCTTCTCCTCACACTGCTCTACCCTCACACCCCCTCTCACACCCCCATTCACCCCCTCAAACACCCCCTCATCACCTCTCACACCCCCCATGCACCCCTCACCACCTCCACTACCGCTCTCGAAATAGACGCTTCTCGGTAGATAAATCAGGAGAAGCTGAAAGTTCCCTGCGGCCGACATCAGGCGACCTCCCCCCCCCCCCCCCTCTTATGTTATTTACAGGACGAGCATCCACTCGTGTAATTTACAGGACAAACACCCGCTCATCTTATTTACAAGACGGACACCCCCACCCCCTCCTCGTGTTTTTACAGGATGAACAACCTTCCCCCCCCTCCTCATGTTAGTTACAGGATCAACAACCCAACATGTTATTTACAGGACGAACAAACACCTCGTGTTATTTAAAGGTCCAACACTTCTCCATGTTATTTACAGGTGTTGGTTGGTTGTGACAGAGACAGGTGAGGGGTTGTGATAGTTACAGGCGTGGGGTTGTGATAGTTACAGGTGTGGGGTTGTGATAGTTACAGGCGTGGGGTTGTGATAGTTACAGGCGTGGGGTTGTGATAGTTACAGGTGTGGGGTTGTGATAGTTACAGGCGTGGGGTTGTGATAGTTACAGGTGTGGGGTTGTGATAGTTACAGGTGTGGGGTTGTGATAGTTACAGGCGTGGGGTTGTGATAGTTACAGGTGTTGAGTTGTGATATGGACTATTATGTCCAAATCCAGCTCCACACCTTGTACCAATAGTATGCAAAACACCATAAGAAAACAATTGAATTAGCCTCGTACTCAACCTAAACTGTCCTGAGCCAAAAATAACCCTCAGGTCTCCATTTCCGAATATCACCAATCTAAAGTTTAATTCAGTTCATATTGCTCCTAAACTTTGCCCAGAAAAGGTTAGTCTTGGATGTTTTATTTTTTCACGGATCTTCTACGTAGTTGAAACAAAATTTGGGTGCAACAGTATATATATTTTGTTCACTCCATTGACAGCTGCTATAGTGCTATAATTTTTGGAGGGGCTTGCACTATATATGAATTGTCCAAGAGTCATTATAAGTGAAATGATACTTAGGAGAAAGAGAGGGGTGAAGTAAAAATATCCCCAGAGAAAGACACGACCTCATGTGGGTAAATCCGGGGTGGCGTTAACTTAAATCCGACTCACACAAGCAAGCAGCCGTTCGCGAAAACGTTTCCCCCCGTGAGTGGATTTATAGATGTTTGACTTGAAGCAGAGAGGTATATTTAGCGAAGACCAAGGAAGGAATTGTAGCGAGCATGTATATCATGCTTTTGTGTCATCATGTGTATTATATATATATATATATATATATATATATATATATATATATATATATATATATATATATATATATATATATATATATATATATATAAAATTGTGTGTGTGTGTGTGCGTGTGTGTGTGTGTGTGTGTGTGTGTGTGTGTGTGTGTGTGTGTGTGTGTGTGTGTGTATTTCACCTAGTTGTACTCAGCTAGTTGTGCTTGTGGGGGTTGTGCTCTGCTCTTTCGGCCCGCCTCTCAACGCTCCAGCTATTATAATAATAATAATAATAATAATAATAATAATAATTATTATTATTATTATTATTATTATTATTTTACACACGCCTGCGAGGAGAGACTAGGGGAATTAAACCTCACGTCGCTGGAAGACAGAAGAGTTAGGAGGACATGATCACCACGTACAAGATTCTCAGAGGAATTGACAGGGTAGATAAAGACAGGCTATTTAACACAAGGGGCACACGCACTAGGGGACACAGATGGAAATTGAGTGCCCAAATGAGCCACAGAGATATTAGAAAGATTTTTTTTTAGTGTCAGAGTGGTTGACAAGTGGAATGCATTAGGCAGTGAAGTGATGGAGGCTGACTCCATACACAGTTTCAAGTGTAGATATGATAGAGCCCAATAGGCCCAGGAACCTGTACACCAGTTGATTGATAGTTGAGAGGCGGGACCAAAGAGCCAGAGCTCAACCCCCGCAAGCACAAATAGGTGAGTACAAATAGGTGAGTATACACACACACGTCCACACAGAGGAAGCCACCCGTAACAGCTGTCTAACTCAGGTACCTATTTACTGCTAGGTAACAGGGGCATCAGAGTGAAGGAAACTCTGCTCATTTGTTTTTTCGCTGGTGCCGGGGATCGAACCCCGGTCCCTAGGTTCACAAGTATAGAGCGCTGTCCACTCAACCACCAGCCCCCCCTGTGTGTGTGTGTGTGTGTGTGTGTGTGTGTGTGTGTGAACTCACACACACTGTGTACTCACAGTACACAGTGAGTACTGTGTACTCACTGTATGTGTACTCACACACACAATGTGTGTGTGTGTAGAAAACCCCTCATATGAAATAATATAGCAATCTCAACAGCTGTTGAGAATGACTTGACTATGGTAGTCAGCTCTTTATTTCTTATGTCATATGCGGTTATTCCCCATTGATCAGATCACCGATTATTTACACACGCTGACTGAGACCTAATATAATACATATGCTGTAATAGGCCTAGTAATATTAGTATATGTCTCTTAGCTTTATTTTTTCCAGACTCTATAACATGAATAGGATCAAATTCTACGTTCCATTTGTCCATCACGTCGATATTTGTGCAATCGTCCACATAGTTACAATAGTACTATCTTATCAGGAGAATATCCGAGCTAGTCGGTTTAATTTCTCCCGCGCTCTCTCAATAAACAGTTCTTTTTTGTTTTTCGCGCCAAAAGTATCGTTTTGCCAACAGAATCCTAAACTTGGCGGGAACTTATCGCGGTACTCAAGCCTCCACCAAGGTAAACAAACCCATTTATCTTTTAGATGTTTGCTCGGCTGCTGGTGTATGTACATACATATATATTCTACTATCATTACTACTATATTCTTCTCTCACTGTCGCTACCGCTATTATTTACTTGTCACCTTTATCACCACGTACGCCGAGTCGCTGACCTTCTTACCCGCGTACCCTGCTGTGAGCGGTAGTTAAAAATAATAGAGGAACTTTGCATTGCTTGTGATGAGGAACCCCACAGGAACGATATTGTTGGTCGCATAAAGACTCTGAGGGGCCAGATTCACGAAAGCACTTAGGCAAGTACTTACGAACGTGTACATCTTAACTCAATCTTTGACGGCTTTGGTTACATTTATTAAACAGTTTACAAGCATGAAAACTTGCCATTCAACTGTTGTTATTGTTATAAACAGCCTCCTGGTGTTTCGGAGCTCATTAACTGTTTAATAATTGGAAACAAAGCCGCCAAGAATTGAGAAAAGATGTACAGGTTCGTAGGTGCTTGCGTAAGTGCTTTCGTGAATCTGGCCCACATGTTACCCCGGTAATGAGGTACTTCTCATATCTCCATTGTTCAAACAATTATGTATTAGCGATATGGCCTTCCATTAATGTATTAATTTACTGTAAATATATAGCGCTTGAAATAGAACATTCTGTGTAACTAGCTGACATTGTAATTATAATGTGTGAAGGATAGATGAATTTGTTAATGTAATAATCTCCGTTGAGGTCTGATAAAGACCTTTCGTGTCCTCTGTAATCCTTTTTGCGCTACAGCTCACAGGATGAGAATGGGGTGCACAATAAACTAGCCGCCACCGGCGGCAACAATAAAAAGCCTCATCCTTCATCCCACCAGCCCCATCCCCTCCCCATCCCCTCCCTAGTCCCCACATTCATTCACTTCCTCCTCCCCCCACCCCCAACCACCACCACCCACCCTGACACTAACTTGGCTCCATATAAATGGGAAAATATGAAATTGGCGCATTTGGCCAGGCACTAGACTTAGGTCAGCTCTTTCTGCACATACACACGCTCGCACACCCACACGCACACCTACGCCCTTCAAACACATTTAAATAGGCTTACACACACACACACACACACACACACACACACACACACACACACACACACACACACACGTACGTACGTACGTTTACCTACCAAGGAGTGAAGTAATGGAGGCAGACACCATACACAGAGAAGCGGGATGGGAGAGCTGAAGCTCAATCTCTGCGTACGCAGATGAGTGCGTTTTAAAGAGCAATTTCTCTTTTCATTCTCTCTCTCTCTCTCTCTCTCTCTCTCTCTCTCTCTCTCTCTCTCTCTCTCTCTCTCTCTCTCTCTCTCTCTCTCTCTCTCTCTCTCTCTCTCTCTCTCTCTCTCATTCATTCGCCGCCACCAACGCACATACAACATATGGAGTGAACATCCTGCCTGTCTAACTGTCACCC